CCTAGTTTGAACGTTGAATCACTTATTATATTGTGACTTATCTTGAAACATCTATCATATTTGTGCTTACTTAAAACATTGGATTTATAAGGTATTCAATAGATTCTAAAGATTAGTCGAGATATACATAAGTTGGTCCAAATACCCGGTCATTAAAAAAAAAAAAAAAAAGAAAGACAGTCCATTTTGTTGAGTGTTTCTTCATCTTTCATCTACAATTCATTCAAATATAATACAATTCCTCAAAGTTGAGTCCTGGGTTTGTCAACTCATGCCCCATTGTGACGCCATCAATCACCTTCCATTAAAAGCAATTGGTTTAATTATTATTTTCTTTCATTTTTTTTTTTGCATCTCTCCTGAAATTGGGTCCCCTACAACATTATTGTCCATTTTAGTATCTTTAATTTCTTTATTCCTTCCAATTTACCAAACCCTTCTCCATTTTGTACTACTGGACTTGATTCTCTCATCTCAACCGTCATTCACATCACCTACATCACTCTCTCTTCAAATTAATTTACACCCCAAGTGTTGCCACGTAAAAAAAAAAAAAAAAAAAAGAGAATATTTTGATACAAATTATCGACCCGTCAGAATCATAACATTATTGAATCGATAATATATCATCCGTCATCAATTTAGTATTTTAGTTGAGAAATTGAGATATTTATTTTGTCATTTTCTTTAACCCATATCATCCAAACCAATAAGATACACACACTCTTTTGAAGGAAAACGATACTTTTGTGCAATTTGTCAACGAATATGGACCAATCTAACCCATCATCCAAGTATTATGGGGATCATTTGCGAGGCACAACATTCAATATATCGTTTAGTTATATAGTAACTCACTAATAATTTTTTTGTTTAATGATCGAGGTGTGTAGATCAGTTACTCGTATTTGGACCGATCTCCAAAGTCCATTGAACTAATATTTTACTGCTAATGAAGAATGTTTAGGAATCTGACGTGCAGTTCGTTTCAATGATGATCGGCTGAATAATTTTTAGATTATTGATTAACAATCCGACTTGGTAAGAAGGGAGTTTAGAAAGAAAGAAAAAGGCAAAGTGTATTTGTGATGGGCACATTGGACGTTGAGATAGAATTTGGTGGTCAAAGGAGTTCCCTACCATTAAATGTCGCAAGTGAAGTAAACAAAAGAACCTTGTCACCATTCACAAAATCCCAATCAATCACAGAGGCAAAGCCCAAGGGGACGAGACAACCCATTAATTTGCTCATAAAAATTGACACTCTTTACTGTTTGAGAGTTTTGCTTGTGTGATGTGTTGGGCCCCTTTTTTTTTTTTTTTTTTTTTTTTTCTTTTCTTCTTTTGGTCACTTAATTTCACTGTTAATGACAAAATTGTGGTGTGACTGTGTGAGGACCATAGCTAGCCTTGAGCCACCTTTGTTGTTCAAGTGGAGAGTGGTTGGGACCCAGATGGTCAGTGACCGAACCTGGGTCTGGACCCAATACCACTGTTTGGTGTGGACCCTTTTTCCAACCGTGTACACATATGCTTTTATTATTATTTAAATTGTATTCCTATGGTTGTTGATTTTTATCAACGGTTATAATTTCATTGATAGGACATATAATATTGTGGGGTCACTAGCCTGAATTTTAGTACCCGTTGTGTTTTTTTTTTTTCAATACTACTATCCTTACAAAGATTTTCATATAAAATGAGGTGACAAAAAATATAATCTTACAAAGATTTTCATAATACTATTTTTTTTTTACTAAGGGTATCTGGTCAGTTTGCACGTATTCTCTTAATCTTTCGAGACCCTGAAGTTAAAGGCCAACAAACTTTCCAATGGCAACCCCTATTAACACGAGAGGAATCGAACTCAAGACTTTTGAATAATACACTCAAGAGTTTTTATTACTCACCCACCATGCACCCAGAGGTGGTTACCCCCCATGTTCATTGATTGATCATACTTTTATTAGAAAATTGAAAATATATAAACTATAATTAATCAATTAAAGATTCTTAATGCATGTCTCATTTTATGAGTAATTCATCCTAAACACCAAGTTGAGGATGATGACAAGAAAAGAGTCATTAATCCAACAATAAAACTATGCAATCACATTGATTGAATTTTGCTGATTTAGAGCTAACAATGAAGAAATATAAAGTTGAAAAATCGAGTCGTGAACTAAACGGAAAAATATCATATCTTTATTATGTTCGACGATTTATATTGATTCAATAATATTGTCGATTCAGTAACTTAACTTGACGGCACATATAAATTCTAGTCATTTCAAATGTGAAGAACATGGTAAATCAAAATGATATTAATGCAATGTGAAATGGAATTATGGAATCATGTGCACCCAAATTGGCGGAGAGTAAGATTCATTGGCGGCTATAAAATAAATTTAATTAAACATAAAAAGGAGAGGATATTTTAATTTATATTATATTAATGAAAAATAGCAAAAAATAATACATGACAGCTAAGGAAATTACACGAATCAGAGACAGAGTTCCTTGGGTTGGGTGCCAAAAGACAAATCTGGTTGTCTTGTGATATATATATATGTAAGAATAATCTCACCAGCTAATTTCAGCCCCCGCCCACCCCACACCTCCCACCACCACCAGTCCACGACCACCAAAACCACCCAAGTGTTCTCCATGTGCTCCCATGGTTCCAAAGCCGAGTGAGTAAGACTCCACAATTTTAATATCTGCAATAATTTCATATTACATTTAAATTATAGTTAACGATTTTTTTCTACTCAATAATAATTTAATGACAATTTTATATAACTTGCAATAACAGTTTGAGTCCACAGTTAATTATTGAATGTATTGAAACAATAATTTGATTTGTTAAGAGTTTCAATTGGCTTTCCTACCATTCTCTCTCTCTCTCTCAAGATATTCAATTGAGTTTATATATTTGTCAATTATACAGTGAATTGGAGATGAACGAACAAATAAGAGAGGAATACTCATTTGGTTAATTTTTTAGAATGTAACGACAAAAACGTTTTTATATGTAAGTGAAACTTTTGACTAGTTTGGATAGTGTATATTAAGTTCCACGATGATTAAATTTTTCGAACCCACTGGAAAAAGGTGATAGAAGATAATCAAATTTCAGAATCAATTAACTAAATTAAAGCTCGTAAGATAAAGACAATCTCGATCATATATATCAACATCGACCCTCAAAATATTATTGATTAAGGTCAGTATTTATTTCGTTCGCACCTTGGATCTTAATTCACATTTTGGTTACGCTCAAAAGACTAGACCAACGATGCAACTTGAATTTTGAAGATCAAATGGATGAGAAAACAACTGTTCCACAACTAAATAAATTTGATAAGGCCAAGCTTTATTGGAAATGATTTTTTCTTTAATTTTTTTCTATGATTTTTTATTTCTGTGTACATCTAGAAAGAGTCAGGGTCCAATCAAAGTTCAGAAACTGGAAAGATGTAAGATTCAGAACAAAATCAGTGGCCAACTGTTGGCTGAGGTTTGATGACCCTTTTCATCTGCCATTGATGTATCACCATCAATCTCTATTTGGAAGGAGATGTGACTTTCTGGTTGGGCCAGTCTTGCCCTTTGTATCATGTGCCTATCTTTCACTAGGATGCAGCTGCTGCTGAATGGTGGTGTTAATAAGGGATTTTCTACCTTCGAAAAGCCTGATTTCGTGACAAATTTTCAGATTTCATCCCACAATACATGATATCTTGTACGATTATTCTGTGCTAGCTGAACCCACTGTTCATCAGAAATAATAGTCCTTGAGCTTGCATGTGAACTGCAAGTTGTTCTGTTTGGAGGGATGAGAATTTTAAAGGGTTTTCATCTTTGTACTATCAGATTCTTTGGGGACGGGATCAGGTCAAGTTGATGATCTGCAGTGTTCTATTATTAACTTAACAAAATCATATTATTCAATTCTGTTACTTCAAGTTGGGAGATTCCTTATGGTATTTTTTTATTATGGGATGATCATTCAAAGCTCTGATCAATCTTGTCATCAGAAAAAAATAATGCATCAAATCTTGCCCTTCCGGAATTGAGAGGGGATCCCCTGGCCTTCTTTGATCACACAGCCGCATCACAATCAAAGCACTACTATTTTCTGATTCCACTCTCGCATCCCATATCATAAACGAATGAAAATCTTTACAAATCTTTGCTTTCTTCAAGTATGTACTATAATATTCTTACTCACCTTCTCTAATGGGACTCACAGTTTATGCTGGGTTGGAGGCAAAGTCTCTAGCCCCACTAACTAAGGTGAGCAGAGATAAATCTGAACCCCTAAATGAGGTGGGTAGAGGATTACATGTACATCACATCTTCAAAAGAAAACACTTACGTGTTAGTTTGGAACAATTTCTAATTACTCACACATCTCATATCATTTATAACGAGAAACTTTATAAATCTTCGCTTACTTTAAGTACGTAGATCTATATGTTTCAGATCAAAGGCAGTTACCTGAACTGAAAACAGATAATATTACCTGTTGATTGAACAGAACTAACATCTATTTATTAGTTCGAACCAATTTCTATAATCACTCGCACATCTCATATCATATTGACGAGAAATCTTTAAAACTTCGCTACTTTTGCAGGTAGATTATAGTTTTGATCAAAGACACTTGCTTGAAACTGAAAACGGACAACATTTACGGGTTCATTAGACCAAAATCAAAATATTATTATTGGATAGGTGATTAAATTTGTATATGATTAGATGTTACGGTGACAGTTAACGGAAAGCAAGAATACACATCTTACAATGATGAAACTAAGAAAAATGCTCTTACCCACTTGCACACTATAATGACTGAACTTTTGGCTCAAGTGATGGTGGCAAGTCCTTTTTTTTTTTTTTTTTTTTTTTTTTTTTTTTTTTTTTTTTCTGATAAGCTGTGGGGCTCAATTTGATCATGGTAGAGAATGGCACCAGAATAAAAATGGCAATAAAAATGACCCACAGCTTGTCTTTACAGCAAAACAATTACATTAAACTACCACAATCTGAAACAAAGACTATAATAATTCATGAAATGTAAGTTGAGAAGAGAGAGCTCCTGCCTAAAGACAAGATCTGGTTATGAAATTTAGCCGCCACCGCCACCCTCCGCCACCGCAAAAAACACCCTTTTGTTGTCACTTCATATAGCAGGCTTGAGCTCAGTCGTTGCTGAGTTTAACTTAGCTTCCGAGTCCAACTCAACGGAATCATTGCTCAAGAAAAAATATAAAATGTATTTTTAATGGATAATTATAATATTATAATAATCAATCAATTACTTAACCATTAAATCCGGTTTGGCTCCACACTGCGTCTCTCACGCGCCTTAAGTCGCGTCCCTTGAGGGTCCGTCCCACGCCCTCGAAAACCGAAGCCCCGGCCGTTCTGCGGCTCCGAGCCAGGTACTCGTGTGGGGGGATCATCTCTGAGTCACGATCTTCCAACCCGTCGTCCGAGTCGTGCAATGACTCGACGGAGTCAACCCGGTAAATCTTACTCCAATCCGGGACGTTCACAGGTGCTGACGTGGCCATTTGATGCCCACGTGGGGATGCAGCCACGGTGTCACTCCCGCCTCTTAACTGGTGTACAATTCTCTGTGAGGACACCGTTTCGAAGGCCAGGGACAACCCTCCCACTTGGCGGTCGTCACGTGGTATTCGACGGTGCCGACAACTCCCGTTACTCTCAACCGAAGCGCGTGGACTCCATTCGCTTTGAGAATTATTGTTACTAACGACCACCGGGTCGTTTCTGTCTGAAACATCGTCAACCGTCGACCACACATCTTCCTCTCCAAGCTCCGACACGTCGGTCACGTTCGCCCCTTGGCCGTTACCGTAGCCGTAACTCCCCAAATACCTCTCGCTTCTGCTCGTGGTTAACCTCCGACCTTTCGCCATAATAGCATTCGAAGACAAAAAAGAACTAAATACAATTCAAAGTCGTTGTCAGAAGATGAAGAAAGAAGCTAAGTGGGGAGTGTTATGAGTCCATTACCGAGTTTCAAACCTTGTTATTTCTCTCCGCCACAGCCACAGATTAGCGACATAGAGTTCGAATAACAGTAGACAACTGATCATTATCATCACCGTTCTCAAGCCTAGCTAGACTTCATTTTAAAAGCATTTCTATGGTAAAAAGGTATATATTTTGATTCCGGATCATAAAGAAAAGGGGATTTCTGAAATGAAGATTTGAAGGAAGAAAATGGAAAGATGAAGGTGGAAATTGAGTTCTGCACCAGAAGGAATCAATTGATTCCTTATAGCAACATAGGTTGTGTTTTGGGGAAGAAGACGTGTATATATAACAGTTTATATTGAAGTTCATTTCATTTGAAGTGAATTTGGACTTCATTTTGTCTGAATTTCATTAATTAAAGATTGATGGATGGTGAGATTTGATTATGGACGGGAGATGCCAAGATGGGTACGAAACTGTAAAAATTAAATAAATGACAATGGGGTTAGAGTTGTCACACGTGTTCAACACTCACTACTTCTTGGGAGTTCACTACTTCTTGGGAGTGAACTGAGCTCCGAAGCACAACTATTTTGGACTCTTTAATATTTAGGTTAGTTTCCGTGTAATTTAATTAATTTTAAGGACCTTAAAATTAATTTTTATCAAATCACTTGCTTTTTTGAAATAATTTTTTTTTAATGTATTCTTAAGTATATAGTGTTATTTTCGAGATAAAAGAAAAAAAAATATAAAAAATGAAGTGATATCGAAAGTCATTATTGGCGATTGTGGAACACGCGCTCCATGTTTAGGATTGAGACAAGACTCAATTGAGTTTAAGATTAGAATATCCACGTCAGATTTTCCATAGTGGATCACATCCTGTTTGACTAAGTAAATGTATCTAAATACGGGTCCCACTATCCACGTGGGCACACATCTTAAACATCAACCTCAATCGTCATTTGGAAGCGCAACACGTGTACTTCCAATAAAGTGTGGGGGACTACGATCCCCCGTCTCTTTCCATTACGTGTCACCATATGTGACCTGTTAAATATATCAAAAGTCCTGGATGCAATGCTAATGGAGTAATGCTAGTGTCAACTAAGTTACTTCGACACCATTGATGGTTTATGATTTCAATTATTATTATTATTATTTTTTTTTTTTATGACAAATGTGGTATAATCAACCAATCTTGAGATGCCATGTTAGCATACGTGACATACACGTCATATGGTTAGTTGGTTGCATCAATGATCGTGATGGGAAAGAATTTATTCAAATAATGTGGATATATCGTAAACTGATTTTCATATATAGATGTATCAGTAATACATTAATTATAAGATTTTTGTGGATGATATTGTGTTTCTTATTATCAATGTGATATTAACATAACATACAATATGCATATAGTTGGAATCCACAATCACTCTTATTTCATATATCTCGTCTATTAGATCTATTAATTTGAAATTGTATATATAATTATCGGAAAGTATAAAACACCATTGAGTTGAGATTATTAAAACTCTATACAAAAGTAGAAAAAATCCTCAGGGATTTTAAAAGTTTCCAAAAATAATTGGTGCACTTTAAATTACTCCCATCCTATATGCATAAACATAAAATTTTATTATGTTTGAGAGATTGGATTGGAGCATGAGCTAGGTAGCTTTGTAATTAAGGTTGACATGAATGAAGAATGAAGAACAAATTCGGTGCAATGGGATGCTAAAGAAAGTTAAGAACATCACAAATGAACCAATGGCTAAAGAAAGTTAAGAACATCACAAATGAACCAATGGCTAAAAATTGTTGTGAGTGTGAGCAGAGTAGAATGACAAAGAGTAAACATCAAGAGGTTAGCATGACGGTTAAGAAAGTTTTTTTTTTGTTTTTAGTAACCAGGGTGTTCGAGTCAGTTTGCACGCATTTCAACTAATTATCGGGATTTATTAAACATCTTACAAGCCTAAAGAATCAGGTATATCATAATGTTATTGTAGTGGGTGACCTCAAGGTTTAAACTCATGAACTCAATGAATGAAACAAACCTTCTTAACCGATATGCTAACCTCTTGAGGTTTACTCTCTTCATTGACTTTTTAAGTTTGAACGTTGATATCACGTATCACATTTGTGACTTACCTTAGAACACTTATTGTATTTGTGACTTACTTGAAATATTAAATTTATAAGATATTCAATAGGTTTTAAAAATTAGTTAAGATTAATACAAATTAGGCTGAGCACCTCTGTCATTTAAAAAAAAAAAAAAAAAAAAAAGTCAATTTTGTTGAAAATGGAGTGTTTCTTCATCTCTCATTACAATTCATTCAAATATAATACAATTCCTCAAAGTTGAGTCCTGGGTTTGTCAACTTGTGCCCCCTTGTGACGCCATCAATCACCTTCCATTAAAAGCAATTGGTTTAATTAATTATTATTATTTTTTTTGCATCTCTCCTGAAATTGGGTCCCCTACAACAATTATTGTCCATTTTATGTATCTTTAATTTCATTTATTCCTTCCAATTTACCAAACCCTTCTCTATTTTGTACTACTGGACTTGGTTCTCTCATCTCAACCGTCATTCACATCACCTACATCACTCTCTCTTCAAATTAATTTCAACCCCAAGTGTTGCCACGTAAAAAAAAAAAAAAAAAAAAAGAGAATATTTTGATACAAATTATCGACCCGTCAGAATCATAACATTATTGAATCGATAATATAATCACCCGTCATCAATTTAGTATTTTAGTTACGAAATTGAGATATTTTTTTGTCATTTTTCTTTAACCCATATCATCCAAACCAATAAGATACACACACTCTTTTGAAGGAAAACGATACTTTTGTGCAATTTGTCAACGAATATGGACACATCTAACCCATCATCCAAGTATTATTGGGGATCATTTGCGAGGCACGAACATTCAATATATCGTTTAAGTTATATAGTAACTCAACTAATAATTTTTTTGTTTTTAATGATCGAGGTGTGTAGATCAGTTTACTCGTATTTGGACCGATCTCCAAAGTCCATTGAACTAATAAATTTTACTGCTAATGAAGAATGTTTATGGAATCTGAAGTGTCGTTTCAATGATGATCCGTTGAATAAATTTTTGAATACTGATTAAACTAATCCGACTTCTGGTAAAGAAAGGGAGTTTAGAAAGAAAGAAAAAGGCAAAGTGTATTGTGATGGGCACATTGGACGGTTGAGAATAGAATTTGGTGGGGTCAAAGGAGTTCCCTACCATTAAATGTCGCAAGTGAAGTAAACAAAAGAACCTTGTCACCATTCACAAAATCCCAATCAATCACAAGAGGCAAAAGCTCACGAGGAGCCAGACTACAACCCCATTCAATATGTCACAACTCCCCCCTAAAAATTTGACCTCTTTACTGTTATGCTAAGATTTATTGCTTGTTTATACGGTCTAAGGTTGCTAAAAAAACACAAAACACCGCTCCTACTTAATTTTTTTTTTTTGCTCGTTTGATTTTTTCCCGTCTATCTCCTAGTCTGGGCCAGTGTCATATACATGATCTAATTACCAAACTTAGGGTGCTGTACACCTGTGCTAACATCAGGCTCCGCCTTGCCCCCAACTTTGTTTTTCAACGTGGGTTGTCAGGTGGTTTGGGAAACGATGGTCGATCACGAAAAAACTGGGTCCATACGACCGTGCCATGGTGAGCTCGTACGAGCACAACATTGTTAAACAGACAGATTCAAACTGCAGATATGTATGATCCAGATTATTGGTGAGAACACATCCCGTGTCATTGGGGTAGGGAAGAAGAAGGGTGTTAGATTGATAAACTAGGTAATAGGAACAAAGAGAAACGGATAATATGATACCAGATAGGATTAAGTGTAGTTAACACTAAACTCATACAATAATTCTAAACAACGCATCGCTTTCTTATTGGTCTTATCGGACTTGCTTCTTGTTTTTTTTTTTATAAATTGGGTGTCTGTAGTTGTACGTTTTCGTTATCTCTTGAGCCCTGAAGTAGGCCGCAACTTTTCAGATGACACCCCTATTACACACTCGAGGAATCGTACTATTCTTAATAATCACTCAAGCAGTCTTATTACCTTCACCTGCTGCCCCAGATGGTATCCCACCATGTTACTTGATGATCACTTTATATTGAATTGAAATATATAAATAACTATATAACTCTAAAGTTGTTATGATGTCGAGTTTAGTGCTATGTTAGAATTCATCCTCCCCAAGTTAGGATTCAATGACAAGAAAACGATATCTATTTCACAAATCCAACAATACAACTGGACCAATCAACATTGGATGAATTTGCCAATTTGGAGCTAACAATGAAGAATAAAAGTTAAAAATCGAGTCGTGAACTAACGGAAATTCATATCTTATTATTGATTCGACGATTTATGTTGATTCATAATATGGTCGTATCGTACTTGATTTAAACGGCACATATAAATTCTAGTATTTCACTGTAAGACAGTGGTATAAATCGAATATGAATTGAGATATCAATGGAAATGGATTATTGGAATCATTCCCCAACAAGTGGAGCCCAGGTAAGATCATTGGCGGCATCATAAAATAATACATTAATTAGGCACTCAACAAGGAGAGGATATGTATTTATATTATTATTATGAAAATGGCAATAAAAATGAATACTGACAGCTAAGGAACACATCACACGAATCAGAGACCAGATTCCTTGGAATTGTATGGTGACTAGCGAGACCAAAGAAACAATCGGTTGTCCCTTTGCGTGTGGAGTATCATATAGCTAGTTAGCTATTTTCTAATAGTAAGGATACGGGCTCTCACTATGACACGGGTCCAGCAACTCAGATAGAGGAGGAGTGGGGGGAACCCTGCTCTGCGAGGGTACAAGCGCCTCTGGCAAGAGGAGGTCCCCGTCAAGACTAAGCCACCAGTGATAAAGTACGCACAGACGATCGACGCCAGATCGGCAGCCCCTTCCCGGAGATGGGAGCTTCTCCAAGCCTGGGGGTACTCGGTCCATAACACTCAGACAAAGGGGGGAGTCTAGAATAAGGGCGGGGGTTGGGTGGTAGGTGAGAGGATTTGCGGATAATTGTAGTGGGGGGGGGGGGGTGTAAGAAGTGGGGTAGTGGGTTGCGGAGAGGGATCGCGGTGGAGGTGTGTGACGTGTGGGGGGGGAGGGGGGGGTATTGGGAGACGGGGTCGGCGTAGAGCTGTGGGGTGAGGGATAACGGTGGATTGCTGGGGGGAAGGATCTCGGGTTTGGGGGGGGTTACGACACGGGGCTGGGCGAGATGGAA